GAATCTTCCTAATTCAGAGAGGAAGTTCAAGAGTCGTGTAATGATAGGGCTCTGTTTGTAAGGCTTAGAACAAATTTAATACGAAATTACATTTGGCTTATTGTCAGTCGGAAATTTCGTACCATTCGTCCTTTCCGAAATGCACGTCAATTAATGTTCCTTGGCGTGGCATATTGCTTTGGTAGACTATTGAACAGCGCAACAATCTGCATTTCGGCCATTCTGATTGAAGCGAATTTGGTTAGCAAGCAAAACCTCTCAAAACATTATGTTTTAAATAATTAACTAGGGCGTAAATGTCAATTATACTACAGTGTAAAGCTGTTTTTATTTTTGTAGGTAAGAACAAAAGTACTGGGCTGCAGAAAGTAGTGCAGAGAAGCTTAAAAGCAAAATACTGCAAGAACCATTATGATTGTTTTTGTTTTAAGATATCTATAGCTGAGATTATTTGAATTAATTCATATTTGTAGCAAAATTAGTGAGCGTATGTTTTTCGAGTGTCAGGTCCATTGATTGAAGTATTTAGCTATATGCATGGATGTTTATTCTGAATCCTTTGTTCGGAATTCAGATCATTGCTCCATCCATTTGAATCCAATGTATTTATTTTCATACCAACGTGAGGTAGCTATCTCTTTCCAGTCTCTGTTGTCTCATTCTCTCCAATCTTTAAAGATCTTAAACTTCTCAAACTTTCTGAGGTTTTTGAGCTCAGACTTTAAACTTTTGTTCATGACTCTGTCAACAAAACATCACCTAGTTGCTTTCATAATTTCTTCTTACTCAGTTCATCTGTTCATCAATATTCCACAAGACAGGCTAGTCAAGGTCATCTATTTTTGTTTCGAAAAAAACAGTTTTCACTATGGTCTAGGGTCAATTCAATATCTTGGTTCTAAGCTTTGGAATTCATTGCCCATGGAACTCCGGAATGTGTCATCGAAAATATCATTTAAAAAGCAACTAAAAATTTACTTATTGAACAAGGTCAGTCAATGATTCTTAGCCATTTTTGTTACTTGCACAAGTCCTATTCTATTTTCTGTAAAGCAACACGTGTATTTATTGAAATTGGGCAGTTTTGGCCGGCTCCGGCTGGTGCCTGTCGGGTCGTATCCTTCTGATTCCTTGTATGGGGATTTGGATTGTGATCTGGTGGTTGCCTGCTGGGTTTAGCTGAATTGTCCCATTATACAAATCCAACCAAATTCACTTGAAATTATTCAAATAGGGGGGGGGGGGGCTTTTTCAATGAAAGTCTATTAGCTTCAAGCATTTTTGCATATTTTTTATTTCTGTATTTACGTTTCTAACAAGATCATACACTGATTTGGACTTGTAATAAATGTTTGTATCGTCTGCAAAAAGGTAAAAGTTCAGTTTTTTGAGACATTTGGTAAGTCATTGATAAAAATTTAAAAAAGCAACGGTCCTAGTACAGATTCCTGTGGCACACCATATGTGATTTTTAGTAATTCAGAATTTACGCCATTGACTGAAACAAATTGATGTCTTTCTGAAAAGTAGGACCGAAACCAAGCCGGGGCATCTTCTCTGATACCATAATGTTCAGGTTTATTAATCAAAGTATCGTGGTTAACAGAATAAAAGGTCTTTTTGTAGGTCGATAAATATTTCACATTCATATTTTCTATTGTCAAGAGTATTTCTTATTGCTTCAGTCATGGTCAATTGAATAATTTTCTTGAAAACAAAAATGCAAAGGGTAGACTACTTTGTTATGGGTAATAAACGAATAGAGTCGTTTGTACATTAATTTTTCATATAGTTTGCTGAAGACTGGCAACAGCAATATAGGCCTATAGTTTGACTTAGTTTCGGTGTCCCCCTTCTTAAAAACAGGAATTAATTTGGCTACTTTTAATTTATTTGGGAAAATTCCTTTAAAGAACGACTGATTGATAAGTGTAGCTAAGGAATTCGAGATATAGGGTTCTATAATTTTCAAAAAAATTATTGGAATTCTGAGCGGCCCAGAAGACTTTGATGAGTCCAATCTAGAATTTCATTCTCAACTTCTATATGATCGACTGGAGAGAGGAAGATTGAATTTAAGTTTTTATTATCAAGATAATCAATAGGTGACTCAGATCTTTTTGGCAAAGTTTTGGTAATATTCTCAGCAACATTGACAAAATACTCGTCAAAGATAATAGAAATTTTAGTTGTGTCGGATGTTATTTCTTCTTTATCCTTGATTTTGCCAATACTTGCAGAGACAGAGCCTTTGTTAGAAATAATTTATTTAATGTCTGCCCACAGTTTTTTCATATTTTGGCAATTTGTAGAGAAAGAGTCATGGAAATAGTTTAGCTTGCTTTTCTTTATCTCATTTGTTACCCAATTTCTGAATTTTCTGTAGAGTTGAAGATTGCTATCCGATCTATTTCTTTTCATTTTTCTAAACATCCAAGGTTTTGCTTTTATTTTTGATTCCTTTTTTGTGCACTTTATAACTGGTACATGTTATTCAAAAAGCATATTAATGTCTTGAGAAAATTTATTATAGTTTCCATTAATATCGGTATTATTATCAATATAGCTCAATTCTAATTTATTAAAGTCAGAAATAAACGACCTCTCGTCAAAAGATGAGTAGTGGCCTGCGGGCCACGCGTTGGACAAACCTGATTTAGAATTCAAAGACTTCTTCAAATAAGTCTACACCTCCATTTTGGCTTGACGATTTAGTGTCGTAATGATTATATCCTTCGATGCTGACATTTGTTAAAATTTCATCTTGAGTGTGATTCCATGTCTCGGAAACTCCTATGATATCAAAATTATTTTTAGCCTGAGCACATAGGTTAATAAGTTCATCATTGTGTAAAGAAAGACTTTTTATATTTGTATGAAGAATGGAAAGATCGCAAGAATCGTATCTGCGGGAATTAAGTTCGGATACAGTAAAATAGCGTGAGTCAATAGTTTGAGGCAGTTGCTCATCAATGTCCTAATCACTCAAGTATGGTACTCCAGTTAAGTTCGAAGAATACTGAAAATTTGGCAGTCCGGCGATATATGAGGGCTCTTCGTGGTTCTCTACCTCAAGCATATAGTATATAAAATTAAAAAGTAATTAAACGAGAAAAGTTGATCACTAAGGTGGGAGTGAAGTATGATTTCGGTTTAGCAATTGGGTGTTTAATACTAGCAGTCATGCCGAGCGGCGCTGGTCGTTTAACTTGTATCTATGTGTTTTAACAGAAAAGGGCGTGCTGTTGACAATAGATGTGTTACTGCATCAGTTCGTCAGTTGTAATCGAAATGTCTCGAGACATCTTGAATCGTGATTTAAAATAAGGTACAAAACGGAAGGTGGCAGCTTACTGGAGCGATTGCAGCAATTACATTAATATACAGTTTTCTAAGCCCCCTTCGAGGATTACGATTTCGAACAACAATTTAAAAAAAAACAACGAGAAAAGACAGCCATGTCTAAAGAAATGAGTTTAACCTATCAGCCTCTCAAGATCTTCCACATCATTAAAATAAACGAATTCTCCCCTCCTAAACCAGAAAAACTGCAATTATAGTCTGCAAATGCGAACGACACATTTTCGTCTTTTAGAATTTCATTTTCCCTTTTAATGATTTCCCTTCTTCTCCTTGTCAGGTCTAACTTGATGCTTTACCTTGTGGTCTTCTTACGTGCCTTATAAATTGCAGTTCTTTGCCGCCATGTAGTTATACGCACAATCATCTGCTTTGTGCGCTTACCTTCAATCCTGACAAATTTCCCAATTCTATGAGCACTCAAGCGCAGAGTCTGGTACGTCGACGCCAATCTCATCGGAAACCCCCCTTACCTTTCGAAGAAATTCTTCGCTTGATTCGCTTTTCCCTGATGTTGGCAGATCAATAGCACTAATCCGTAGACAAAGTCTACGTTGATATTGTTCACCATCATCGTTTGATTTTTGCAAAACAGCGACGTGCTTTTCCAGTACAGCAACCTTGTCCTCAAGTTGCAAAATTTTCTTGGATTGCTCATCAACTATTTTGATGAGATTAGATATGCAGTCTTTTGTGGCCATCCTTTCTTCAAGGCTTTCGAATTTGTTCCCCATCCGTGCCTTTAAACTTTCATCGCAATCTTCGTCTTCCAATGACTTGGGCGATATAGCATCAGGAGAACTGGATGACGGACATCTCTTCCCACGACGTGGCTTAGATATGGCTTAATCCAAAAATAAACGGCTGTTTATGACGATGCAAACAAAAACCGTCCTAAATCACAACATATCCAACAAACCAACTAGTAGTATCCATCTATTACATTTGCAAATCAAAACGATAGATATTGCGCCGCTTTGGCTAAAGCGTAGTGTTAAGCGTTCGCCATTAATGCAGCTTTTTACCCTTGAGAAGTGTTATATGAGCGTGATTTTTCAATTTCGGAAGAATTCCTACGAAGATTTTTGTGCCAGAACCATCAATATCTGAAAGTGAGGTAGAAATGGCATTGAAAGAACTTGCGAACGGAAAAGTCCCTAGTATAGACAATTTTCCAACAGAACTTTTTATGGCAGAAGGCAGTGAGGTAATAGCAATTACAACAAATATTTGTAATAAAATATGGGATACTGCTGAATGGCCAAGACAAGCCATTCTTAGAGCGAGAAATTCCTGATGAACAAGGTGGATTAAGGAAGAGCAGAGGAACACGAGATCAAATTGGAAATATCAAGAGGTTAATGGAAACGACCATAGAATTCTAAAAGAGTGTTAATATGTGCTTCATTGATTATAGTAAGGCAGTGGATTGTGTGGACGACTAACCCCCCAATTGTTTACGGAAGATGGGCATTCCAGAACATATAATAATTCTGTTACGCGGGTTGTACACAGATCAGGAGGCAGCAGTAAGAACTTTGTATGGAAATACAGATTGGTTCAAGATCACTAAAGGAGTAAGGCAAGGTTGCATCTTATCCCTATTTTTGTTAAACTTTTATAACGAAAACATAGTGAGAATGGCTGGTCTTGACGAAATAGAGCATGGAATTGAGATAGGCTGTCAAAAGGTCAATAACCTTCGATATGCAGATGACACCACGCTGCTGGCGGGAACAGAAGAAGGTCTCAAAATGCTATTAGATGAGGCGAAACAAGAAAATGATAAAGCTGGGCTTCGGCTCAACATTAAGAAAACGAAAGTAATGGCTACATCAAGTGAACTGGAAGAATCTAAATTTGGGGAAGAAACAGTTGAAGTCGTTAATAACTTTATATTTCTCGGTGCTGAAATTTTAAGAGAAGGAGGTTGCACAACAAAAATTGTCAGACGGATTGGCATGGGCAAAGCGGCGATGACAGGTCTTCCTAGGGTCATGAAAGATAAAGAGATGCATATCTTTGATTAAAATGACCAACTATGAGGGATATGATCAGAAGTGAGACTGCAACAACTGTATATAAATCTGTTAATGGTCTCGCGCCTGATTTTCTCTCGCATTTATTTGTTAGAAATTCTGATCGCAATATTATCAACCTTAGAAATGCCGAAACTGACTTGCTAGTGCCATTCATGAAAACTAATAATGGACAGAAAGCGTTCGCATTTCGTGGAGCAAAAATCTGGAATGATCTCAGCCGCGAGGCCAAGCAAGCTCCCTCTTTATCTTCTTTTAAGAACAAGATAAAGGGTTTGTTGTAAATTTATTGTAAATAGTTGTAGATAAATTATTTATGATTGTAATTAGTTTCCTTTTCCTGTTATTAATTTTATTAGATTTTTTAATTTGTAATATTTTTGGCACGGCCCCCTGAAAATCAGTCATGACTGACGGGGCTACCGTGCATAAATAATTTTAAAATGAAAAAAAATGAAAAAAAAATGAAAACATACGAAAGTGGGCTCAGTGAAGGCATTAGTTCCTGTAATGGTGTACGATTGTTAGAGCTGGACAATCAGGAAAGGCGAGAGAAGGAAGATTGATGTGTTTGAGCTATGGTGTTGCCGTAGAATATTGAGAATACCATGGAAAGCAAGAAGAACAAACGAGTCTGCTTTGGAAAAAATAAAGCCGGAAATTTCTTTAGAAGGCATGATTGTCGCTGACTTACTTCGGACATGCGATATGAGCTAATTTCCTATTTCATTTAAACTTTAGTATTCTTTTATTCATTGTATTATTATTCAATAAAAAGGACACTGGGTCCTTGGCAACATCAATGTTCAAAAAGGCTTGTATTTTTGTTTCAAAACTCTAATCAGGTCTAGACAGGACTTTTTGGATTACAATACTTAAAGGCCCTCACTTCGCTTGAACATACCGCAAAATGTCTCGAGAAACATATCATTGACTCTTTCTTAACTTACTAAGCTGAATAAATTATCTCTGGTAATGGTTCTTGCACATGGGCGTGGTGGATGTTAAACGTTAGGGGGGCTAAGTATGGATCTTCCACGAAAATCGTTTCCTTATTGAGATAGTACTGTCCCAATGGAGCCAGAATTACGACAAATGTGGTTTGATAAGGGGAGCTGCAACTATCCCAGCCAATTTGCCCCCACGACGATGCTCTCCCAAATAAAAACATCCTCAGATTCAATTTGACGCTTAAAATATTTGTTTACAGTCGTGCACCTCCTTTTTATGCCGTTTTTCTAAGCCAAAAAATCTCGCGATTTGCACCGAAAAATTCTAAGAATTCTTACTCCCGAGTACGTGCGATGAGAAAAATGCCTGTAGCCCTGAAGTGCACAATGTAAACTGAAAATAGCTTTGAAAATGGCTTTGAAAAAAGCAAACATTTTACGACATACTGTTTACGACAAACTGTTTTAACAGTGTTTCTAGACCTACAAAATCGAGGAGGCTGTTCTCTTTGAGAGGCAGTTTTGTTTCTTATGTTGGAAGGAGCATGTTTCGGATAATTGGCAGAGCCCGGTCGTTCTTCCATCTAGCAATTTTGGAGTCGATCTACATAAAAACGAAAAAAGCCGCCATTGTGTAGACAGAAGGAGTTCGTTTTTTCTCTTGGACTCCATTGGTAATTTTTCTTTAGGCTCGCGGCACTGATTGGTCAACTATACCGGTCTTGTGCTTGCGTTTTTCTGATTGGCCTATTTCGATTCACAAATGGGTATATATTTTCCATCGTGTTCTTTCGGAACCTTATTCTGACGTTTTATGCTCTGAGGAGTGTCAGACGAAAAAGCTTTTAGTATGTCGTAAAATGTTTGCTTTTTTCAAAGCCATTTTCAAATTCTGTACCGCAAAAAAATTGTTCGAATAAAGCTTTATTATTATAAGCACAGAATAGATTGTAAAATTACCAACATTCGCGAGAAACACTCAACTCAACTAAAAACTCAACAACAATTCTATACACCTGTTTTCACGCGTCCCCTTATTTAGATCACATAGTTGCAGAAAACACGAACAAAGAGTTAGAGCAAAACACCAGAGTTTTTCTATTGATTATTGTTTGATGTGCTCCTTTGCTGTTGCTGTTTCACTTTTTTATTTTAAAATTAATCTATTTTTTCCAAATTCAAAGCCGTCAATTCTATACGAATTAAAAATATTTAATGCGCTTTTCTTCCAAAGCCGTTGCTTGCTGAGAACGGACTTAAGGCTCGAAACGTTGCTTGGACATTCTAAAGGACTGCTGTGTTTTGCTTCTATCGTTAATCCATTGCAAACTTTCAATTTTGATGTGGAAAGACTACCAACACTGAGATTACGTTTACGATCATAGAATGACCAAAGCCAGAATTCAAAACAGATGGCCATTGTATAATTAAAGGCATAACATTTGTAAAATGTGAATGATAAATTCTCATGAAGACGCAATGACAGACGCAATGAAATCTCTGTGGATATGTTATACAAACAAAATACTGGCCCAGTATTTTGCTCTAAATGATTATCAGAATCCTAGCAAAATTTTTACAGTCAACCGCCTGTAGTTATATTTGTGTTTCCGTGGTTAAGACCTTGTTTTTCTGAGAAGCAAAATTGCGGTCGCTGTTCAAATCTTCATTCACAAAGAACACAGAATGAGATTTCCAGACACATTAATCGCAATGCAGGTGCGAACTAGCATTCGTGAAGTCCCGAACTACTTCAGTTACTTCTATTTTACTGAATAGCTGGGTAGAAAAGGCGTCTTCCCTTTTTAAAAGAATTTATTCTAATCTATTTTCTAAAAAATATAATATCAAGTTTTATGAAAAGTTTATCGTTTGCTCTCTTTCCAGCTAATCTTTCTAGTTCTTAATATTTAAACATTTAATGGTTAAAGGTACCATACTTATTCTAAAAAATGATCAGCTTTTGATAATAAACGAATTGTACCAACTCCGACAAGACTACTTGCCAAAATACCAGCTTAATTTTTGTCATTCAAATTAGCAGTTTCCCTCTTCACTTCCAAACAGTGATTTGAATATGCAAAGACTGAGTTTTAAATGCAAATATGCAAAGAGAATGCAAAACCAGTTACATCTGTTGCAAGTTGGCTGAAATATAAGTAAAAGACCTGAAAAGACAATTTTAGTAATATATAGCTGTTGTTTTCGCCTTCTTCGTGAATTTTGAAACCAAGACCAATTCATTGTAATTTGATATATAGTATACATATTCAGTTTTATGACTATAAGTGACACGTGACGAATATGAGTATACATATGAACTATAACAAATTTAACGAGACAAATGGCTAATTTGATCATATTTTTTAATCAATAAATACATTCGAATGCGTTGTTTTGTTACAGCGTTTTAAGCTGCTAACAGGCAGCATTTTGGAAAAAATGAAGAAAAATCTTATTGTCTTAAAATGCAAGATACAAAGTTAATAATTTATTCATGTTAAACCAAAATGTAAAATGACACACTATGTTCTACATTGATGAAAGCTTTACAAATTGTCAATTAATCCATAAAGTTGCCCAGCCTTTTTCTAAATGGCCTTCTGGACACACAGCTGCGATTACTAGCTCCATTCAAGAAATTCGGGTTATTCCTGCATACCTTCCCTAAGTGTATGTAGAGCAACAAAATGCTTTACAAGCTGAATCCTTTCCACAATACCACTAAACATTTTCTCAATGATCTTAAAACACAATTTTTCGTCTTTCAAGTTGATGGTTAATGATTGAATTCATCAAAGTCACTTGAATAGGAGAAACCTTGAAAAAAACTAAAATCCTGCCAAACACAACCAAAGTCTCGATAAACATGATTGAAACCACAATTGACTTTTTGAGAACCTTCTCCCTCTATAAAATTCTTAGTGCTGCGAAGAGAAAGGAAATATCCCCAAAAAAGAATCCTCCTTCGCAGATTTGTGATTTCAAAGAGCTTCTGATGGCTGAATGCATCTTCACATCGTCTTAGTTTTAAAAAGGAGGTATTTAGATAAGATTTTTATGAAAATTACTGTTCTAACGTAATGCCGTTAATAGAGTTTTTTGGTTTTTTTAATGCTTGCTTCTTAATTTAGAAATTTGACAGTGATACATTTAAGCAAATTTCAAGAAATTATACTGATCACAAAACTAGGAAAGGTAAACAAAAGGTGAAACTTACTATTCTTCTGAAAACCTATTTTAAATCAGACATGCATAGTTTCTTCTTCCTTTGCTTGTCTTTATGCTTTCTTATTGAAACCCATCTTGCTAATAGAACTTGGTATTCGGCAAGATTCATTTGGTGAAGATGAAATGGCTGTCATCTACATATTCTCACTTTAGCACGCCTTCTGTTCGTGTTTTGCAATCTTTCGCTGTTTTACAGCGTTGTTTCTATATTTGAAGTGAGATATTCCTTTTAGTACACTAAGATTTAAGCTTGTTTTATTAAGTCCCGCAAAAATAAGCTCAGTACAGAGAACCAAGTCAATAGATTTATTGGTTATTAACTGATGTGAACGTTTGTGATCACGCCCAGACACAGTTGTAGGGCGACAAATATCATTCGCTACTGAACAATCAACAACTTACTAACCTTCTTCTTTTTTTGAATGGGATTATATTTGATACAAACAGATAGAATGATGCATTTGCAACATTTCCAGACTACTATTGGAGGACAAGGAGGCTGTCAATGGAGATTGATGTCACTTGCCATAAACATTTTTGCTAATTTTGACTAAGCAGACATTATGTCGATTTTGAGGTTACAGTATAGAGCACTTGAAAACAGCAGTTATGGAAAATGCTATGTCATATATTGCACCTTATGGCATGCTCAAACGTTCCAACATTTCACCCAATATTTCTCCCAACATTTTTCTTCGATGTTGGAAAGTGGTCCGACTAACATCGTCAAACGATCCAACATTTCTCCCAAAATTTTCATGCGCAGATAGAAAAAGGACTGGGTAGAAGGTCGCACTACAGGTTGCAAAA